ACCCTCCGTGTCTTGTTGGGAGATGCAACCGTTAGTGGAAAATTCAATATCCAGATGGATATATCAACGGCATTCCTCAATGGGATTTTAGAGGAGGATGTGTACATGACGCAGCCACCTGGGTATGAGGATGGTACGGGCAGGGTGTGCAAGCTGAAAAAGTCCATCTGCGGCTTGAAGCAGGCGCCACGCTGCTGGTACCAGAACTTGGCAGCCGTTTTAGAGGAGATGGGATTCAGGACCAGCAGCTGTGATGAGAGCCTCTTTCTCAAGGGGGAGGGGGAGAAGCTGGTGCTGTTTCTGGTCTATCTTTGCTCCCACTGCCAAACCCCCTACCCTCCGTGTCTTGTTGGGAGATGCAACCGTTAGTGGAAAATTCCATATCCAGATGGATATATCAACGGCATTCCGTTGATATATCCATCTGGATAATGAACTTCCCACTAACGGCTGCATCTGCCAACAAGACACGGAGGGTAGGGGGTTTGGCAGTGGGAGCAAAGATCTCATTGAAGTCCCGCTTTTCCTTCTGCATAAACCCCTTAGCCACCAGCCTACTCTTGTAGATGGTGACCTGCCCCTTGTCGTCAATCTTGATCCTTAGCACCCACTTGCATTGTACCGCTTTCTTTCCCTCAGGCAGCACCACTAGTTCCCAAGTCACATTCTCCAGCAGGCTCTGGTACTCAGCATCCCTTGAAGCTAGCCATTTGTCCCTATCTGGTCCAGCTAATGCCTCCTCCATGCTAGCTGGTTCCTCTGGTGCAGGGGCAAGAAAACAGTACGCAGGCTCATCCTCCTCATCCGGGTCATAGCCATGCGGTAGAATCAGCAATGCCTCCCCAGTCCCAAGCTGCTGCTCCGCTACATCATCTCCTGAAGTCAGCTTCTTAGTAGCCATACGGGTACGTCCTGGCCTGGAAACGGGTGTCTCCCATCCCTTCATAACGACACCCTTCGGCTTCTTAGTTTTTCCCTGCTGCTGCTCTCCTCCCTCGGATCCAGCAGCTCCACTAGTGCTACCGCTAGTCTCCTTACCATCACCTCCACCAGCAGGTGCCTCCTGCACCTTCTCTTTATCACCACCCTCTGCAGCTGGCTCCTCTCCCTCCTCCCACACACTAGGAGTCAGGTCCAGCTGCATGGTGATCTGCTCCATCTGCTGGGACACCCTCTCCTCCGGCTGTTTCTCCCAGCTCCCATACATCATGCCCTCAACAAACTTCACATCCCTGCTGTCAAACAACACACCCTTGGAAGGTTCCCACAGCAGCCATCCCTTGCTCTCAGCAGCCAGCCCCAAATGGACACACCAGATTGCACTCGCCCCCAACTTACTGCGGTAGGTCTTGGGGACGTGGGCGACTGCCATGCAACCGAACACCCTCAGCATGTCCACCGACGGCTTCCTCCCAAGCCACCTCTCCAACGGCACCCACGAGTCATCCCCAACCTTTGTGAGTACCTTGTTCCTAGCGACGGTAGCGTGCCGAACAGCATGGGGCCACATCAAGTTGCCCAGCCCAGATTCTATGAGCAGCGCCCTAGCTGTCTCCAGAATTGTCCGGTTCGCCCGTTCTGCTAAACCGTTGGACTGTGGGGTGTAAGCCGTGGTCAGCTCCCTCTGGATGCCCTGCTTCTTGAGCCAGGCCGTCATCTCAGCTCCAAGGAACTCACCACCCCGATCTGTCCTAATCCGCTTCACCACACACTCCGCTTGCTTCTCCACGAACGGCAGCCAATCGTCCCGAATCGTGGAGGCGGCGTGATCTTTCTGCTTCAGCGGATACGCCCACATTAGCCTGCTCCAGTCATCCACTATGGTTAGGAAGTACCGCTCCCCCTTGTGTCCTTGCACCGGCAGCGGCCCCACCAAGTCCATGTGGACCAGCTCCAACGGCTTTTTGCTCCTGCCAGCCACACTATGGAAGGGGAAACGGGTGAACTTTGAAAGGAGGCAAATTTCACAGTTATCATCGGGTGGTTGTCCGTTCAGCTTCAAGCCCTTAACGGCTCCATCCTTCTCCAGCTGCTTCAGCAAAGGCATTGCCACATGCCCCAAACGTCGGTGTGCAGTTGCCCAATCCGTCTCCCCAGATCTGGCCGACACTTTCACACCAACCCCTCCAACGGCGTTGCACTCCCCCTGGGATGCAGACCCCTCTCCAGCCTGCCCCCCACCGTGCCACGCCAGCGCCGGCAGCTGCCACATAGATCTGTACACGTCCTTGCTCTTGTGCAGATCCCAAAGCACCCGATTGCCCAGCTTCCCCTTATAAGTGCGAGCCCCATCCGTGTTGGTGTTCACCCCAGCCTTGCCAAGCTCACGGAGGGAGTTGAGGTTGGCCTTCAGGTCGGGGACGAGGAGAACGTCGTGCAGCGCCACCGGCTTGCCATCCGCTCCCTTAAACGCAGCTCGTCTCGCACCAGCCACCTTCAACATGTGTCCAGAGGCAGAGCACACCTCATTAATCGGTGCAGCGCGTACGTCGTCCAGCAGGTCCTTGCGCGGCGTCATTGTCCAAGCAGCGCCTGTGTCCAACACCCAATAGTCCAGGGGGTGCAGCTCTGCTCCAACCTTACCAGATGCGTCTCCTTGCTCCCCCTTGTCTCCCATATGGAAGAATTGGCCCGCGGTGCGCTCCTTTTTCTTCTCCGCACCGCCGTTGCCCTTCGGGTTGTTGTCGGACGAATCAGCGACCATGTTGGCGCCGTTTTTCTGGTTCCTCCGCGCGCCGCCATCCTGGTGACGATTCTGGGGGGTCCATCCATCGGGTTTCTTATAGCACAAAAACCAGGGGTGCCCTTCCTTCTCACAATACCAGCAACTCCCTTTCGTTTTGCCACTAGCTCCCGACTTGCCCCCACGTCCAGATTTCGCACCGCGACCCCAACCGGTACCTCCTTGTTGGTCGTTGGAGTCGTCGTCTTTCTTTGCACCGCGTCCAGCACCACCGAAGCCACGTCCTTTGCCACGTCGGCTCCCTTGCATCCCGTAGCCGCTGCTGCCGTCGTCTCCACCCCTCAGTTGGCGGCGACGGAAGTTCTCCTCCAGAATCTTCGTCCGCACCCACTCGAGCGTCCACAAGCTCTGGTTCTGCGGCAGGCTCAATCCACTCGTGAATTGAAGCCACGATTCCGGCAGCAGCGAGAGCATCTTCAGGCACTTGGTCTGCTCCGGGTAGGTGATTCCCGCGGTCGCCAACTTCGCGTAGAGATCACGCATCTTGTCCAGGATAGGTTGCACCGGCTCTCCCTCGCTTAGGCGCAACGCGGACAGCTCCCTCTCCATCATGAGCGTCGCAGCGACGGAGGTAGGGGCGTGCATTTCCTTCAACACCGTCCACGCCTTCGGACCGCACTCAACCTCCGGCAGCAGGTGCATGACGTGGTGACGCTGGTTCAGCTCCAAACTCTGCGACATCAAGTAGTAGCCAGCCGAGGCGCGCTCGTCCCAATCTTCCTGAAGGGCGGGGTCACTCGGTCTAGGCTCCTCCCCAATGATTAGTTTCAGCAATCCGATATGACGGAAATAAAGTTGCATTTTCCAGGCCCAATCATCATAGCCCTCACCATTGAACTTCTCGACGGTGAAGTTTTTCAGCACCTCCTTGATCAGCGAGCCCTGGCTTGTTCGCGCTCCCCTTGGCGCAGAAACACCACAATCTTGGCTGCCGCTACGATCTTGGGCTGAAGATTCACCAGCTACCGCCGAGGTGTTCCCCGCCATAGCTACCTATATCGAGGATCACAATAACGCAGCTCTGATACCAGCTTGTTGGTGTAAGGGCCTAATAAACTCAAGCTATTAAGACTTTATCACACTTAAAAATCTCTCCTCGGGGTCACCTCCAAGGGTCCTTGGGTGCCTGGTACAAGACCAGCCCCTATCCTCGGGTCCGAGTTTGTAGAGAGAGGGATCAAGAGGGACTTAGTCAAAACAGCAAGAGTACCTTGAACGTCACGCAGCGTATCGTGCAGACTGTAGATCGGATTAAGCTGAGAATTTCCTATATCGAAGCTCACTCTAAGAGCTTTAAAATAAGCCAAGTTGCCTCACGAAAAGTTTTGCCAAGTTTTCCCCTAGCATTCCGCCGTCGCACCGCGTAGAAACGAAATTCCAGGAAGGGAGGAATTCGCTTGAATCAATTTCAGTATATTCAGGTACAAACAGAGAAGGAATAAATAGCTCTAGCTAGCAAGGACCTTGGGAATCAACCTGGGAACAACCAGGGATGATCCCAAATAATTCCAAGCAACAGAACCAACCTGGCTGGACAAAACAGCAGGTGGTAGGTTGGTGAACAGCCTCTGGTTCTGTTTTTCCAACCTGGAAAAACAACAACCAGGTTCAGGTCCTAAAAACAGAACCTGTTTTGTCTTTGCCCAACCAGCCAAATGCTGGTTCCGCTGGTTTCCCCTGGCCCTGTAGCATGCAGATACAGACAAACAACATCCAACCTTCACCTAAATTGTACCCCTATAGTACCTGCCCTGCTACACTATAGTCAACCAAACAAAACAGTACAATTTCGAGTTGGATAGAACTGAATCTGCGCAATCAAGTAAGCCGAACCACAAAGCTTCCATCTTGGGTTCCTTTGCGAGCTCGTCCTTTCTGCTTGTACTGTTCATAGCGCGTACAATGTTATGCCGAAGCGCACATTGTGCGAGTACCTGCAAATGCTTCAAGCGAAAATTGCAAAAGCAAACAAACAACGAACATACCAGTCACACGCAAATGCATTCGCACACGCATACTCGTACAAACAGACGGCAGGATGTCGTGCAATGTGAATTTGCCCCCAACAGTTCGCCCAGGGAGGGGGAAGCTCATCCACATATGCGTCCATGGCTGTCTGCCACTAAGAAGAATACTCACCCGCCATCGCATAAGCGTAAGAGCGCGGGGTCGGGATGTTTGGTGCATCCGGGTCTCCCTCAGAGGCAAGCAGCATAGCCACGAGATGAGGCGCACCGGCCGCAAGACACTCAAGGTCCTAGTGCCTGTCCTCAAGGACGTCCGTGCTAAGAGCACACTCACCCCCGACGGACGGAGGACAGACAGACTCAGACTCAGCAACAAGACTAGCAACGTAGTCTAGACGACAGGCAGCAGCAAAGTCAACAAGCTCAGCGACTAGGGCAGACGCAGCAGTGGACTCAAACGACGGGTCAGTGACAACAGTGGCAAACACACGCGTGACAGTAGGGTGCTCAGTACGAAATTGGTCAGACTCGGGGTCCACAACGTCAAGCAGAGAGGACGCAGCAGGAGACAGCAGAGGAACACGCGGCAGAGGAGAGGAAGGACGACGGACTACAAGTTGGGTGCCGGGGACAGCCGGCTAACGCTGACGAGGAACACGACGACCGGAACGACCAGAACGGACAGGCGAGAAAGGACACGACGCAGGCTCACGACGCTCAGCAAGGCCCCCTGTCTGCTCGGTGTACAGAGAAGGAGCAGGCAGCGGTGAGCCAGGCTGTAATGGAAGATCAGTAGACAAAGGGAGACTGAGAACATGGCGCAGCGCAGAGTCAGGCGGTGGCTGAGACGACGGAGACGGCGGAGCGAAGAACAGGCGTGGCTGTGCAGTGCCACCAGCACCAGCAACTCTAGCACCTCCAGCAGCTCCAGTACCCTCAGCAGCTCCAGCACCTCCAGCAGCTCCAGGACCCTCAGCGCCAGCTCCTCCAGGACCTGCTCCACCAGCTGCAGCGCCCCCTGAACCGGCACTGCGAGTCCCAGGGTCTCTAGCCTCAGTGCCTCCAGCAGCAGTACCCCCAGACCCAGGGTCTCCAAGAGTAGCACCCACAGACACAGCACCTCCAGCCCCAGCAGCTCCAGTACCTTTACTACGAGCACCTCCGAGACCAGCGACTCCAGCACCTCCAGGAGACAAAGGACAAGCACCACTCCCAGCTTTAGTCACGTCAGCAAAAGTACCTCAAGCAGTAGAGCCCCGAGCTCCGGAAGCGCGACCCTGATGGCGACCGTACCAGTCGTGCAGCTGCTGTGAGGTGAGAGGCACACATGGACGAAGGCACCTACTCCAAGGAGACCGCGTAACAGCAGTCTCAGAACCCTCAGGCGTCGCACCCCCAGACTCAGCACCCCTAGGCTCCTCACACGCATGCTCAGCACCCCCAGACGCAGCACCCCCAGGCCCAGGACCTCCATGCCTCTCACGCGCAGGCTCAGCACCTCCAGGCTCCGCACCGTCAGGCTCCTCACGCTCAGGCTCACTGCCCCCACACTCCGCACCCCCAGTCTCAGCACCTCCTGGGTCCTCACGCTCAGGCTCCGCACCCTTAGGCTCAGCACCCCCACGCTCCGCACCCCCAAGCTCCGCACCCCCAGGAACAGCACCACCCCCAGCAGGATCTGAGTCACCGGTGACCTCAACAGGCGCAGGTACGAGAGGGTCTACCTAAGAGACACCTGAAGGAGCAGGACCTGGCGCGGGGAGGGGGTCTACCTGGGGAGGACCTGAGGCAAGAAAGATTGGCGGGGGGGGGGGGGGCGAGGGGCAGTGCGGTAGGGAAAGAGACATTAAAAGGGAACTGACTTGTCAAAGGTGACGTCCTGAGACGGAAAGACACGGCGCGAGGCGGGGTCGTAAAATTGCCAGCCAGGCGTGTCAGGGACAAAGCCAAGGAAGACGCAGGGAATGGCCCGAGGGGAGAGCTTGTACGCGGTGGTATCGCGGACAAAGGCACGAGCACCCCAGACCCGGAAATGCGACGCATCGCCAACCTTCCCCGTCCACAGCAGTGTGGGGTAGGTCTCCGGCAAGGAGACACGGGGCCAGAGGTTGAGCTGATGCGCGGTGTATCGGACCGCAAACGGCCACATAAAATGGGGGGTAGCCGCATGGATCATGGAGGTACGAGCGACCTCCATGACTAAGCCAATGCGGCGCTCAGCAACCCCATTCTGCTCTGGAGAGGCCGGAAGCGTGAACGTCTAGCGGATGCCGTGCTCCGCACAGAAGGCTGCCAAGAGGTCTGAGGAAAACTCACCACCTCAGTCATAGTGCAAACGCAAGACAGGAATGTCCGACTAGAACCGCTCGCGGAGCTGGAGACGAACAGCGCGGATCCAGAGGATCAAAACATCAGGGACCTCCCCCTTGCGCTGCAAGGGAATGACCGTGGTGTAACGCGTGTAGTCATCGACGACCAGCAGGAAGTACCGCTCGTGGCCCTGTCCACAGACGCGGGCTGGGCCCCACACGTCCAGGTGGAGAGTCTGCAGTGGAGCCTCTGTGGGAGGGAACGAGGAGGAGCGAGGAGCGGCGTGCTGCCGCCCCTCGACGCAAGAAATGCAGGGTGGCGCAGGCGAGGGGGGGAGGGCAGGCAGAGACCTGGGAAGGCCAAAGACCAGGAAGCGAGAGTGCATGCTACGAAGGCGAGGCAGGGAGGGGTGACCAAGGCGGTGGTGCCACAGAAGAGTGTCGTGCGACAGCCGGCGACACTCACACTGGGTAGCTACCTGAGTAGACATGTACAGCGGGGGAGACAAAGAGGTGGAGCGCGACGTAGTGGTGAGGGTGTACATACTGGACCCAGGCGCACCTGTGAACGTGGCCAGTTGACGGCCGGTCCGGGAGCACGTGCTGATCGCCACACGCTGTCCTCCAGGAGTAAAGGTGTCAGTCCAGTGATCCTGAAGGACGGCGTTGCTCACCAAGTTCGTAGAGAACAAGGGGAGGTGGAGACCAGACAGCTCACCATACGGGACCGCCAAACACGGAAGCACAGTGGAAGACCGTGCAAGCACTGGGCCCCCAGAGGGGTCAGCCAGTGAGACAGGAACAGGTGCAGGGAGGGGAAGGACTGTGGTGCTGTCGCGAAAGAAACAGCGGGAAGCACCAGAGTCAAGTGTGAAGGTGTGCAAGGCCTGTGCGGACGCAGTACCAGGGGGAGCAGACTCACAAACACCTAGTGCCACAGGCACTTAACCTTGGGCTATATTGGGGTCAGGTGGCACACACAAGTAGCAGTCACCCTCAGCACTAACAATCAATGCATACATGGCAGCAAGAATAGCCTCATAGTTAAGATCAAAGATAGGTACATCACGCCTAAGCAGGTCTGCCCAGTTGGGGAACTCAGTAGCATCAAGAAACTTGACGCGCCAGGCGTCGCTAAGCCGAGCGAAGCAGCGGTACTCAGTGTGAAACCCTATGCGCTGGCGACCAGCGCGGGGACCTGTGCGAGTGATATAAGGGCAGCGACCAGGACCCCCAGACGCCCCACACCCGGCATACCAGTCAAGAAGCTGCTGGGAAGTAGGGGTCTGGCGCTGACGCTGCTGCGGCTGCTGCTGCTGCTGCTGCTGCCCCTGGCCACCACTAGTGTCACCCAAGCCTCCACCATCGCTGCCACTACCACTCCCCCCTCCGCCACCACCGCCACCGCCACCGCTCCCGGCACCACTATCGCCCCCACCACCACCTCCACCCCCACGACCACCCCCACCACCTCCACCTCCCCCGCCGCCTCCACCACTGCCCCCTCCACTGCCACGTCCGCCACCCCTGCCACCCTTGCCTCCCCTGGAGCGGCTGCGCTTCCCACTAGGAGCGGAAGCAGCTGCGACCTTCTTAGCACAAAGGAGGTCGACACTAGCAGTTGCGGAGGCGTAGGAGGGGGTAAGAGGGAGGGGGAGCACCCCTCAAAGAGGGGAGAGCGAGGAGTACCACAAGCAGCACCTACAACGAGGATGTTCTTCTCTCTTGCTAAGAGGTGCTTCTCGAAGTCGGCGACAGTGAGAGTGGTAGGGTCTAGGGCTAGGAAGTGGTCCCTGATGGAGCTAAGAGTGTCAGGGAGGCGGGTGACGAGGAAATAGGGGTGAAGTGTCAATGGGAGTTGTGTTTGGCCCCGTCCTCGCTTGGGCGGAGCCGACCGTGGAGCCACGAAATCGCGAGGGGCCGTAGAGCCATGAAATCGTGGGGGACCGTGGAGCCACGAAATCGCGGGGGACCGTGGAGCCACGAAACAGCGGAGGACCGCGGTGGCCGCGAAACTGCGGGAGGACCGCGAAATACCCGATCAACCAAGATACCCGGGCGACGTACGCGAAAGTCGCCGGGGATGTTGTCTGCGAGGACGACCTCAGGGGTGGTATCCCGAGGTCGACGTGGCTGGTGGGCGCCGTCACGGGCGGAGTGTCTACGCTGGGCATGTGACGGGGAGTTGGGCGCCAACCAGCTGCACGCACTTGCGAAGCTGGTGCACCGTTGTCCCGCGGATGCAACGCTGTGCAGCCGACATACTGCAGCGTTGGCACACCGCGGATTTGCAACGTTGGCAAGCCGTGACTCTGCTCTGCTGGAGTGTGGTCGACCAAGTCGTGCTGGCACGCGGTCGACCGTGCTACGCTGGCAGTGGACCAGCAGCCTTGCTAGGTCTGATGTAGTCAGTGTTGCCAATGTTGATGAAATCATTCTGAACTTCTGTTGTGATGTTTTCCTAGAGAAACTCTTGCCAATTTTGCCCGTGAACTAGCAAGCAGTGTTAGCACTTGGAAACGACTAAGGAACAAACGAACACTACGATCACTCTTGCCCCGTGCCTAGCCCGTAGTCTATCTCCCGTTGCACTAGTTATCTCTGCATGGTGCGGTGAGCGTGGACGACACCGCGACGAAACCTTCGGTTTAGCTGACTTCTCACTCACCTAGATTGTTCTTAGACCGGCAGCTGTGCGGTAGTCACTATGGTAGGAGCCGTAGGTGACGGAGGGGTGGTGGACACCCTGGAGGCACGGCTGGAGAACACGATGAGAAAGCACGAGGCCAACGAGTATGGCGACATCCCCTGGACGGTCGTCGAGGCTGGCATCCGCTCCTTGTGGGCGACGGAGCACCCTCCCTCTCGGCCTGCGTCTCCTCGACCGGTGAACAACGCGGGCGGCTTCGACGCGGACGTCAACGCGGGTGGTGGCCAAGTCGGTAGCAGTGCGGGAGGCACATCGAGGCAGCGAGGTGTGATTCACGCCGATGAAGTCGGCGGCGTTCAGGCGCGAGGGATGCAGTCGTCTGCGGCTGCAGGGGCCCCGCGAAACTACGTCGGAGGCAGACGAAGTGAATTGGCGCCGATGTCGGCGACTTACGTGTCCGCGGGAGGAATTGGGCCGAGCTACGGCTACTTCAAGTTTACGCCGGACAGGATCTCGGTCACCCCTCTGCTGGTCGGTCGTCCCGACATCCTCACGTGGAAGAAAGCCATCGAGCCCCAGCTGGAGATGGCCAGGCTGATGGACTTCGCTCGTGGAACCGTGGCGACGCCGGAGGAGCACTACCCCGACCTGCGAGCGGAATTTCGCGTCGTGCAGCTGCTGACCTTCACAGTCATTTCGCGGTGCTGCTCGTCGGGCGTGCAGATCGCCCTGAAGTCGTGCAGGGAGTACCTCGATGTGGCCACCGGGTGTGGCATTTCATTGAGTCAACTTACAAGGTCACCGATGACTTGTTCATCGCCCAGCTGAAGGGGCAGTTGACGCACCTGCGTATGGGCGACAAGGAGACCGCGACTGACTACTGCGACTGAGCTCGGCCACCATACGGATGGCTGGCGCGCAATACTCAACGGCTTTGTACGTCACGCATGTCATGCAAGGACTCCCGAGCAGCTACAACTTGCTGAAGCGGCTGTCGATGGCGACGAGCACGCGAGCGACGCTCAACGAGGACACGTTGACCTCGTACATCCTGCAGGAAGAGGCGATGCAGGAGGCTGAGCGGTCCCAGGAGCTCCTCGCGCAAGTAAATTTGGCGGCCCCCGCGAAGCGAGGTGGTCTTCCGAGACAGCGCGGGCAGTCTGGTGGCAGTCACCGCGGTGGCGGGAAGCCGACGAAGGACGCTGACAAGCAGAAGTCGTCCAAGGGTGGCAGTCGTGGAGGAGGAGGTTGACGTCGGGAATGCTGGCTGTGCGGCGATCCCGATCACCTCTCCTTCGAGTGCCCCGACCGCAGCGATTCTGACGACGACGACGCGAAGGGAGGCCGCAGAAGTTCTGGCAGCCATCGTCCGCGTCGACGAAACCAACCGCGAAAAGAAAAGCAGTCGACGAAATCGACCTCGGTGAAGGACGCCGACTCTTCCGCGCGTGGCAAAGGGCGAGACGGTAAGGAGGCGTCGTGCTCGCTGGTCGGTATCCTGGAGCCGACGATCTCGCTGGCGCCGGAAGCTGGCGAGGATTTCCAGGCGGTGGCGGCAGCTGTGCAAGCGAACCCCGCGGTGGTCCTGCTCGACAGCGGCTGCTCGCACCACCTGATGGGGACGAAGGAAGCCTTCGTCGAATTGGGGCCGGGCGGCGACGTGAAACATGTGCGTGGCTTTCAATGAGGCGCTGCAGGACGTCCGCGGTCGTGGCACGGTTGCGCTGCAAGGGGAGGCCGGGAAGCGAGTGCTCATCTCCGACGTTCTCTACGTCCCGGGCGTGCAGGCGAATCTGCTTTCGGCTGGCCAGCTGAAGGAGAGCAGGGTGACACTGAAGGAGGACGGACATCGGATGTTGCTCGTCTCCGCGGCGGGGGACGTGCTTGGTCGAGCGACGTACACCGGCCGGGTCCTCTGCACTGACCTACGCCCATGCGCAGTAAAGGCGACGACGCCCGCGAAAGAGGAGGTAGCTCTGCGGGCGATCGTCTCAGCGACCAAGGCAACCCCGAACAGGTTGCACGCAAGGCTTGCGCATGTTGGCATGGACATGATACGGAGCTCGGCGAAGCACGAGGTCGCCACTGGGCTGGACCTCACGTCGGCGACTGGCGCCGACTCCCCGTTTGTTTCGTGCGTCGGCGGGAAGCTGGCGCGGCACACCTTCCCCGACCACGACTCCGAAGCCGACGATGTCCTGGCCGTCGTGCACATTGACTTGTGCGAGCCATTTCGCGTGGCTGCCAAGAACAGGAGCCTGTACTTCCTGCTGCTGAAGGACCGCAAGACCCGCTACATGTGGGTGAGGCCGGTCGCCAAGAAGTCGGACATGCTGCTGGAGTTCCAGAAGTGGTTGGTGCTGGTGGAGTGGCAGGCGAAGCATTCGGTGCTGCAACTGTGCTCTGATCGCAGAGGGGAGTTCCTTGGCAATGACTTCACCGCCTTCGTGGACAGCAAGGGCATCATTCACGACTTAACCTGCCCTTACACCCTGCAGCAGAATGGCATGGCGGAGCGGGAGATGAGGACAGTGGTGGAGTCGGTGCGGACGATGCTGCTGCACATGGGCGTGCAGCACCACTGGTGGCATCTCGCTCTGCGGCAGGCCGTCTGGGTTCGCAACTGCCTGGAGCGGTCAACGCTGCCCGCGGGGACGACGCTGCACCAGCTTCTCACCGGGCAGAAGCCCGACCTGTCCCTGGCGCGGGTGTGGGGCTGCATGGCGCAATTTCTCGTCCCTGAGCAGCAGCGCGGTGGGAAGCTGAAGCCGAAGGCCCGGTGGGGCCTTCACCTCAGCGTGTCGGAGGAGACCAAAAGCTGGGAGCTCCTTGACATCGCCGACGACCGGGTGGTCACCACGTCGGACGTGGTGTTCTACGAAACCCTGTCGCTGGAGGTGTGGAAGTCGGAATTCGGGCCTGCGTCGGGGCGGACGCGGGCCAACCCACTTACGGATACCTCGACGGCGACGCTTCCTCTGCTCGCTGAGGTCGGTGAGCAGGCTGATGATGATGTCGCGGTCGCCCCTGCCTTCCCATCTCCTGCCCCTTCTTCCCCTCCTCTTCCAGACGGACTGAGTGGCCTGACTTCGCTGTCGGTCTCAGGCGATGAGGGGAGTCGTGGGGCGTCGCCTGTGGCGCCGGCCAAGAGCATCGCCGGTGGCCGACGTGATGCCCAGCCAGTCGCGGAGAAGCGGGCCGCGGATGTGCAGCCAACTTTGGACACTGCGAAGAAAGCCGCGAAGAATATCGCAATGGAGGCCGCGAAGAGCACTGCGAAGGAGACCGCGGAGGAACCCGCAGAGGAGCCCGCGGCTAATAGGCAGCTGACAAGGGAACAAGCAGCACCGAAGCGACCGCGGAGCAATTGGCAGGGGAGTTTTTGAACAGGAAGTGCGTTTCAGAGAAGCCGTCGATAGGGGAGCCGTCGAACGGGAAGCGCGTTTCAGAGAAGTCGTCGATAGGGGAGCCGTCGAACGTGGAGCTTGCTTCAGAGGAGCGGACGACAGGGGAGCAGTTCGATGAAGGCACATCGAGCGACGTGGTGGAGGTGCAGCCCGGACCTCGGAAGTCGGGCCGAATTCGGAGGCCACCCGACTTCTTCGTCCCCGCTGCCTTCACCACGGTGTACGATGTGGACGACGAAGACCTGGCGTACGATGACGCCGAGAAGGATGAGGAGTTTTTGGAGCTCGACCCCGACATGCACGCCGATCCCGAGCACCGTTGGGACATTTCGACCATGACGGTGAAGAAGATGTTGGCGAGCTGGAAGGGCCCAGCGGTGAAGGCCGCCATGGAGGAGGTGATTCGTGGCCTCATCAAGATGGGCACTTGGGAGCTGGTCGAACGCCCGCCGGCGGTGAACATAATGAAGAACCGGTGGGTGCTGACAACGAAGTACCGCATCGACGACACTGTCGAGCGCGAAAAGGCAAGGCTGGTCGTGCAAGTGTATGGCGCTGATTACAACGAGACGTACGCGCCGGTGAGCAGCTATGTCACGCTGAGGATTTTCCTCAGCATCGTTGCCGTCCTCGACCTCAACCTGATGCAGCTGGTCATGAAGAACGCCTTTTTGCAGAGCAAGCTCGACCGCGTGCTGTACATGTACCAGCCGGACCACTTCAACAACGGGACCGGCCGGGTGTGCAAGCTGCTGAAGAGCCTCTATGGGCTGAAGCAGTCGCCGCTGCTGTGGTACACGGCTCTCAACGACGTGTTGGTTGGCACCAGGTGGAAGAAGAGCCAAGTCGACGAGGCTCTGTACTTCAAGGTCGGCGACGACAAGGTGACCTGGTGGGTGCTGGTCTACGTCGATGACCTTCTCGCCGCGAGCAGCAGCACCGCGATGCTGAAGAAGCTGAAGGAGCTGCTGGAGGCCGCTTTCGAGCTGCGCGAGATTTCGCCGGTGCAGAAGTATCTCGGCCTGGAGATCCTGCGCGACAGGCCTGCGCGAAAATTGTGGCTGCACCAGCAGGGCTACGCCGACAAGCTGCGGAGGCGCTTCATTGACGAGGAGCAGACCGGGCGCACTACGAAGACGCCGGTCTCCGTCGCCGCCTACGCGGAGCAGACATTCGACGACAAGGAGGCGCAGGAGCGTGAGGAGGAGGAGTACCGGCAGAAGGCCGGCTCGCTGCAGTTCGCGGCGACGATGACGAGGCCAGACATCGCATTCGCGTGCAGCAAGCTTGAGAGCGGCCTCACGGTGAGGAGCGACCAGCACTGGCGCGAAGCCGACCGCTGTCTCGCCTTCTTCGCCAACACGCGAGACACTGTCCTAGAGTACGGCGGTGGTCCGGAGTCGCTGGAGTTGGTTGGCTTCGTGGACGCCGACGACGAGGGCGACAAGCAAATCCGGATGAGCACGGGTGGCTACGTGTTCGTCTACGGAGGGTCCGCGGTCTCCTGGTCGAGCCAGCGCATCAAGTGCGCGACGCTGTCGTCGACCGAGTCGGAGTACGTGGCGGCCGGCAAGGAGGGACGTCGCCTTCGCTTCCTCCTCGCAGAGTTCCAGCAGCTAGACACCGGAAAGCCGACTGTCCTCAGGGTGGACAACAAGTCAGCCATCACGGTTGGCAAGGGCATGGGGTTGAAGGGCAGCCTCAAGCACATGGAACGGCGACATGCCTGGCTACAGCACATGGTGAAGCGCGGGAAGTTTTCGCTGAAGTACATCCCGACCGCTGAGCAGCCGGTCGACTTCCTGACGAAGGCGCTGCACTACCCGGCCTTCAACCGGTGCTCCATTGCAATCAGCCAAGTGCGCCTGGCCGATGTGGGCGACGGTGACAACGACGTGCAGCATTAGGTGCCATGCTCTTTTGCATGGATGGTGCGGTGACAGGCGTGTTGTGCGTTGTGTGCACGCCGACGGGCTATTCTCTAAGCAGTACTGCCGTGTGGGCCGGGGGGAGGGGCCCAAGCGTGAACGGGGCAGGGGAGTGTCAACGGGAGTTGTGTTTGGCCCCGTCCTTGCTTGGGCAGAGCCGATCGCGGGAGGACCGCGGTAGCCGCGAAATCGCGGGAGGACCGTGGTAGCCGCGAAATCGCGGGAGGACCGCCGTAGCCGCGAAATCGCGGGAGGACCGTGTTGTCCGCGAAATTGGGGGAGGACCGCGGTGGCCGCGAAACCGGGGGAGGACAGCGAAATACCCAGTCAACCAGGATACCCGGGCGACGTGCGCGAAAGTCGCCAGTGGTGTTTTCTGCCAGTACGACCTCGGGGGTGGTATCCCGAAGGCGACGTGGCTAGTGGGCGCCGTCACGGGTGGAGTATCTACGCTGGGCATGTGACGGGGAGTTGGGCGCCAACCAGCTGCATGCACCTGCAAAGCTGGTGCACCGTTGTCCCGCGGATGCAACGCTGTGCAGCCAACATACTGCAGAGTTGGCACACCACGGATTTGCAACGTTGGCAAGCCGCGACTCTGCTCTGCTGGAGCGTGGTCGGCCAAGTCGTGCTGGCACGCGGTTGACTGTGCTGCGCTGGCAGTGGACCAGCAGCCTTGCTAGGTCTGATGTAGTCAGTGTTGCCAATGTTGATGAAATCATTCTGAACTTCTGTTGTGATGTTTTCCTAAAGAAACTCTTGCCAATTTTCCCCGTGAACTAGCAAGCAGTGTTAGCACTTGGAAACGACTAAGGAACGAACGAAAACTACGATCACTGTTGCCCCATGCCTAGCCCGTAGTCTATCTCCTGTTGCACTAGTTATCTCCGCATGAAGTACATCGGGGTGGGGTTTGCAGCGCAGAACTCGGCTGGAAGGGCGGCACGAAAGCGAGTGTCACTAGTGAGAACTGAGGTTCTAAGCAGCGGTAAACGAGGACAGGTCAAGGAACAGGTAGGGAAGCATGAGCCGACCTAGGGCTGCAGTGGCCGGGGAGGAGTAGCGCGCAACTACAACGTCGTATAGTGCCCTAGCAGTTTTGTGCTGGCTGAAATGCGCGCGCTCAGTCATCGGCAGATGGGACCTAACAGCTAGGCGTGCAGCAGCATCGCGAGTCTGCCACTGTGAGCGTTCAAGAGTAATAGCATCGTCAGCGGGAGCAACGGCAGTGCCAGACACGTAATCGAACAGTGAAACGCCGTCTTTGGCATCGGTCAGAAGGAACAGTTGGAGATCGTCGAGCCACACACCGAACTCCATCGGGCGACCGTCAGGCTCAAACGCAAGAACATTAAGCGTCGCCATAATCGCAATGCAGGTAAAGCCAGTAGGCAAAGACAGTAGCAGGTAGCAAGCAAAGGCAAAGGCAGCAGGCAATAGGCACCAGGCAAAGGCAGCTCAGGCAGCGCGCGGGCCAGCAGCAGGCCGAGCGTAGACTGCAGCACCGGGTCGCGCGCGGGCTCCTAAGGCAGCTCGCGGGGCAGCAGCGGGCCGTGCGCGGGCTCCTACAGCGACGTGCGAGGCAGCAGCCGGCTGCGCGGGCGGCAGACGCGGCGCGCGGGGCAGCTATGGGCCGCGCTGGCGACGGACGCGGCGCGCGGGGCCTAAGCAGGCTGCGCGCGGCGGCAGTCTGCGCGGGCTCGTCGCGGGCTGCGCGAGCGGTGCGTGGGCGACGCGGGCTCGGCGCAAAGTGCGGGCGCGGTGCACGGCGCTGTAGCGGAGTAGAGCAGGAGTAGAACAGGAGTGTGAAGCGGAGCAGTCCGAGAGAAAGAGTGCTAGAGGAAGATTGGTGCTAACTGGTAAAGCAGACGAGGTGACCAGAGCGATCGTTCACGGATGCTAAGTCTGCTGGCGTTCCTCTAGGTCTCGATTCACGACGCGGGCCAGTCTGTATTGCAAGAACGCGCAACTACTCCTTGGCAGGTAGAATATACACTTAACAATATTTCACCTGATGGTATATTCACCTGGCGGTGCTAGTTTGGAACCACATACTATAGTAGGTGCTTGCATGTTCTCCTTGAACATCGTTCTTTATGAACAACATTCTCGAAGAACACTCTTGCACACGTCACTATGTCTCTTTATATGGTTTATGTTGTTTCAGATGGAATCAACGTTGGGTGCAAATTCACATTGCACGACATCCTGCCGTCTGTTTGTACGAGTATGCGTGTGCGAATGCATTTGCGTGTGAATGGTATGTTCGTGTGTTTGTTTGCTTTCGCAATTTTCGCTTGAAGCATTTGCAGGTACTCGCACAATGTGCGCTTCGGCATAACATTGTACGCGCTATGAACAGTACAAGCAGAAAGGATGAGCTTGCAAAGGAACCAAAGATGGATGCTTTGCGGTTCGGCTTACATGATTGCGCAGATTCAGTTCTATCCAACTCGAAATTGTACTGTTTTGTTTGGTTGACTATTGTCTAGCAGGGCAGCACTATAGGGGTATAATTTAGGTGAAGGCTGGATGTTGTTTGTCTGTATCTGCATGCTACACGGCCAGGGGAAACCAGCGGAACCAGCATTTGGCTGGTTGGGCAAAGACAAAACATGTTCTGTTTTTAGGACCTGAACCTGGTTGTTGTTTTCCCAGGTTGGAAAAACAGAACCAGAGGTTGTTCACCAACCTACCACCTGCTGTTTTGTCCAGCCAGGTTGGTTTTGTTGCTTGGAATTATTTGGGATCATCCTTGGTTGTTCCCAGATTTATTCCCAAGGTCCTTGCTAGCTAGAACTATTTATTCTTTCTCTGTTTGTATCTGGATATAGTCAACTTGATTCAAGCAAATTTCTCCCTTCCTGGAATTTCTTTTCTACGCGGTGCGATGGCGGAATGCTACCCGAGTCAACGCTAGTACGCTAGCACTCCAACACTAGGCAAACTCTGTCCGAGCCATAACTTCGTAATGGCAGAACTTTTCGCGAGGCAACTTGGTTCATTTTAAAGCTCTTGGAGCGAGCTTCGATATCGGAAATTCTCAGCTTAATCCGATCGACGGTCTGCACGATACGCTGCGCGACGTTCAAGGTACTCTTGCTGTTTTGACTAAGTCCCTCTTGATCCCTCTCTCTACAAACTCTGACCCGAGGATAGGGGCTGGTCTTGTACCAGGCACCCAAGGACCCTTGGAGGTGACCCCGAGGAGAGGTTTTAAGTTTGATAAAGTCTTAATAGCTTGAGTTTATTAGGCCCTTACACCAACAAGCTGGTATCAGAGCTGCGTTATAGTGATCCTCGATATAGGTAGCTATGGCGGGCAACACCTCGACGGGAGCTGGTGAATCTTCAGCCCAAGATCGTAGCGGCAGCCATGATTCTTGTGTTTCAGCGCCAAGGGGAGCACGAACAAACCAGGGCTCGCTGGTCAAGGAGGTGCTGAAAAATTTCACCGTCGAGAAGTTCAATGGTGAGGGCTATGATGATTGGGCCTGGAAAATGCAACTCTATTTCCGTCAGATTGGATTGCTGAAACTAATGATTGGGGAGGAGCCTAGACCGAGTGACCCCGTGCTGCAGGAAGATTGGGACGAGCGCTCCTCGGCTGGCTACTATTTGAAGTCGCAGAGTTTGGAGCTGAACCAGCGTCACCACGTTATGCACCTGCTACTGAAGGTTGAGTGCGGCCCGAAGGCATGGATCGTGTTGAAGGAGCTGCACGCCCCGACCTCCGTTGTTGCAACATTGATGCTGAAGAGGGAGCTGCGCCTGAGCGAGGGAGAGCCGGTGCAACCTGTCCTGGACAAATTGCGCGACCTCTACGCGAAGTTGGCGACCGCAAGAATCACCTACCCGGAGAAGACCAAGTGTTTGAAGATGCTCTCGCTGCTGCCAGAATCGTGGCTTCAATTCACGAGCGGATTGAGCCTGCCGTAGAACCAGAGCTCGTGGACACTCGAGTGGGTGCGGACAAAGATTCTAGAGGAGGACTTCCGTCGCCGTCAATTGAGGGGTGGAGACGAGTGCAGCAGCGGCTACAGAATGCAAGGGAGCCGACGTGGCAGAGGACGTGGCTTCGGTGGTGCTGGACGCGGTGCAAAGAAGGACGACGACTCCAACGACCAACAAGGAGGTACCGGTTGGGGTCGCGGTGCGAAATCTGGACGTGGGGGCAAGTCGGGTGCTGGTGGCAAAATGAAAGGGAGTTGCTGGTATTGTGAGAAGGAGGGGCACCCCTGGTTTTTGTGCTATAAGAAACCCGATGGATGGACCCCCCAGAATCGTCACCAGGATGGCGGCGCGCGGAGGAACCAGAAAAACGGCGCGAGCATGGTTGCCGATTCGTCCAACAACAACCCGAAGAGCAACAGCGGTGCGGAAAAGAAAGAGCGCACCGCGGGCCAGTTCTTCCATATTGGAGAGCAGGGGGAGCTAGGAGACGTTTCTCCCAAGGTTGGAGCAGAGATGCACCTCCTGGATTATTGGGTGTTGGACACGGGCGCTGCTTGGACGATGACGCCGCGAAAAGACCTGCTGGACCACGTACGAGCTACTCTGATCAACGAGGTGTGCTCCGCCTCTAGACATGCGCTCTCGGTGGCTGGTGCGGGACGAGCTGCGTTTAAGGGAGCGGATGGCAAGCCGGTGGTTCTGCACGACGTTCTCCTTGTTCCCGAACTCAAGGCCAACCTCATCTCCCTCTGTAAGCTTGGCAAGTCTGGGGTGAGCACGGATGGGGCACGCACTTACAAGGGGCAGCTGGGCAATCGGGTGCTTTGGGATCGGCACGAGAGTACTGACGTGTACAGATCCATGTGGCAGCTACCGGCGCTGGCGTGGCAAGGTGGGGGGCAGGCAGGAGAGGGATCTGCATCCCAGGGGGAGTGCAACGCCGTTGGAGGGGTTGGTGTGAAAGTGTCGGCCAGATCTGGGGAGACGGATTGGGGCATGTGGAAATGCCCTTGTTGAAGCAGTTGGAGAAAGATGGAGCCGTTAAGGGTCTGAAGCTGAACGGACAGCCACCTGATGAGAATTGTGAAATCTGTTTGCTCTCAAAGTTTACCCGTTTCCCCTTCCATAGTGTTGCTGGCAAGAGCAAGAAGCCATTGGAGCTGGTCCACATGGACTTGGTGGGGCCGCTGCCGGTTCAAGGGTACAAGGGGGAGCGGTTCTTTCTGACCATAGTGGATGATTGGAGTAGGCTTATGTGGGTATATCCGACGAAGCAAAAGGACCATGCCGCCTCTTGAATACGGGAAGATTGGCTGCCATTTGTGGAGAAGCAAGCGGAGTGTGTGGAGAAGCGGATTAGGACAGATCGGGGTGGTGAGTTCCTTGGAGCTGAGATGACGGCCTGGCTCAAGAAGCAGTGCATCCAGAGGGAGCTGACCACGGCTTACACCCCACACACAGCTAGGGCGCTGCTCATAGAATCTGGGCTGGGCAACTTGATGTGGCCCCATGCTGTTCGGCACGCTACCATCGCTAGGAACAGGGTACTCACAAAGGTTGGGGATGACTCGTGGGTGCCGTTGGAGAGGTGGCTTGGAAGGAAGCTGCCGGTGGACATGCTGAGGGTGTTCGGTTGCATGGCAGTCGCCCACGTCCCCAAGACCTACCGCAGTAAGTTGGGGGCGAGTGCAATCTGGTGTGTGCATTTGGGGCTGGCTGCTGAGAGCAAGGGATGGCTGCTGTGGGAACCTTCCAACGGTGTATTGTTTGACAGCAGGGATGTGAAGTTTGTTGAGGGCATGATGTATGGGAGCTGGGAGAAACAGCCGGAGGCCAGGGTATCCCAACAAATGGAGCAGATCACCATGCAGCTGGATCTGACTCCTAGTGTGTGGGAGGAGGGAGAGGAGGCAGCTGCAGAGGGTGGTGATGGAAAGAAGGTTAAAGAGGCACCTGCTGGTGGAGAAAATGATATGGAGACTGGCACTAGTGGAGCTGCTGGATCTGAGGGGAGAGAGCAGCAACAGGGGAAAACTAAGAAGCCGAAGGGTGTTGTTATGAAGGGATGGGAGACACCCGTCTCCAGGCCAGGACGTACCCGTATGGCTACTAAGAAGCTGACTGCAGGAGCTGATATAGCAGAGCAGCAGCTTGGGACCGAGGAGGCATTGCTGATTCTACCGCATGGCTATGATCCGGATTAGGAGGATGAACCTGCCTACTGTTTTCTTGCCCCTGCACCAGAGGAACCAGCTAGCATGGAGGAGGCATTAGCTTGACCAGATAGGGAGAAGTGGCTGGTTTCCAGGGATGCTGAGTACCAGAGCCTGCTAGAGAATGGGACATGGGAGCTGGTGGTGCAGCCTGAGGGGAAGAAAGCTGTACAGTGCAATTGGGTGCTAAGGATCAAGACCGATGACAAGGGACAGGTCACCATCTACAAGAGTAGGCTGGTGGCTAAGGGGTTTATGCAGAAGGAGAAGCGGGACTTCAATGAGATCTTTGCTCCCACTGCCAAACCCCCTACCCTCCGTGTCTTGTTGGCAGATGCAACCGTTAGTGGGAAATTCATCATTCAGATGGATATATCAACGGCATTCCTCAATGGGATTTTAGAGGAGGATGTGTACATGACGCAGCCACCTGGGTATGAGGATGGTACGGGCAGGGTGTGCAAGCTGAAAAAGTCCATCTACGGCTTGAAGCAGGCGCCACGCTGCTGGTACCAGAAGTTGGCAGCTGTTTTAGAGGAGATGGGATTCTGTGATGAGAGCCTCTTTCTCAAGGGGGAGGGGGAGAAGCTGGTGCTGTTTCTGGTCTATGTAGATGACATTCATCTCTTTAGCAGCAGCATGAAGGAGATCCAGAAGGTGCAGCAGCAGCTGATGGAGAACTTCAAGTGCAAGAACCCTGGGGAGGTAAAGTACTACCTCGGGATCACGTGGAGAGGGATCTGGATCACAGGTGGTTGAAGCTGCACCAGGAGAAGTTTATCAAGGAGCTGGGGGAAAAGTACGGGATTGAGAATGAGCGCAAGGTTGCAACTCCCCTGCCAGCAGAATTCAAGCTTGTGAAAGCTGCAAAGGATGAAGGGGTTGAAGCCGAGGAGCAGCAGCAATTTCAGTCCTTGGTGGGCAGCCTCTTGTATGCAGCAGTTCACACGAGGCCCGACATCTCTTTCTCGGTTGGGCAGCTGGCCAGGGTGGTGCAGAATCCATCAGAGGAGCAGGTGGATGCAGCTGAGCGTGTGGTGAAGTATCTGAACTCTCACCCAAGCATTGGAGTTCAATACTCCGCATCTGCACAAGTGAAGCAGAAAGGGGTTGAGGTGCTGAAAGAGAAGGGGGAGAAGCTTGGAGAAGGCAAGCTCTTTCTCACTTGCTTTGCCGATGCTACATGGGCCTCTGAGAAGGAGGATTCCTCATCTGTGGGAGGATACATCTGCGTAGTTGGGGGAGGACCGGTTAGTTGGAGGTCAAAGAAGCAGACGGAGACAGCACTCTCTTCTGTGGAATCAGAGTACATGGCGATGTTCCATGGGGTGAAGGAGGTGATTTGGCTGAGAAGGCTGTTGGAGGAGATTGGCCAGGAGCAAAAGGTTGCTACGCCGCTGAATTGTGATAGCAAGGGAGCTCTCGGAATGGCCAGGAACGCTGTGCTTCATGGGCTCAATAAGTACATGCGTATCAAGTGGCACTGGCTGCGTAAGGAGGTGAAGAGGGGGACGGTGAATCCGATCTACATCAAGACTCACCAGCAGCCAGCAGACTTCCTCACCAAGAGGCTTGCAGATGAGCCTCATTGGCATTGTGTGCGCATGAGTGGAATGAGCATGAACTAGTATGGAATGATGGGGATGCAGCCGGCAGGCTGAGGGGGAGTGTGTTGGGTGCAAATTCACATTGCACGACATCCTGCCGTCTGTTTGTACGAGTATGCGTGTGCGAATGCAGTTGGGTATGAATGAAATGTTCGTGTGTTTGTTTGCTTTCGCAATTTTCGCTTGAAGCATTTGCAGGTACTCACGCATTGTGCGCTTCGGCATAACATTGTACGCGCTATGAACAGTACAAGCAGAAAGGACGAGCTCGCAAAGGAACCCAAGATGGAAGCTTTGCGGTTTGGCTTACTTGATTGCGCAGATTCAGTTCTATCCAACTCGAAATTGTACTGTTTTGTTTGGTTGACTACAGTGTAGCAGGGCAGGCACTATAGGGGTAGAATTTAGGTGAAGGTTGGATGTTGTTTGTCTGTATCTGCATGCTACAGGGCCAGGGGAAACCAGCAGAACCAGCATTTGGCTGGTTGGGCAAAGACAAATCAGGTTTTGTTTTTAGGACCTGAACCTGGTTGTTGTTTTCCCAGGTTGGAAAAACAGAACCAGAGGTTGTTTTCCAACCTACCACCTGCTATTTTGTCCAGCCAGGTTGGTTCTGTTGCTTGGATATATTTGGGATCATCCTTGGTTGTTCCCAGATTTATTCCCAAGGTCCTTGCTAGCTAGAACTATTTATTCTTTCTCTGTTTGTATCTGGATATAGTCAACTTGATTCAAGCAAATTTCTCCCTTCCTGGAATTTTGTTTCTACACGGTGCGACGGCGGAATGCTACCCGAGTCAACGCTAGTACGCTAGCACTTCAACACTAGGCAAACGCTGTCCGAGCCATAACTTCGTAATGGCAGAACTTTTTGCGAGGCAACTTGGCTTATTTTAAAGCTCTTAGAGTGAGCTTCGATATAGTAAATTCTCAGCTTAATCCAATCAACGGTCTGCACGATACGCTGCGCGACGTTCAAGGTACTGTTGCTGTTTTGACTAAGTCCCTCTTGATCCCTCTCTCTACAAACTCGGACCCGAGGATAGGGGCTGGTCTTGTACCAGGGACCCAAGGACCCTTGGAGGTGACCCCGAGGAGAGGTTTTAAGTTTGATAAAGTCTTAATAGCTTGAGTTTATTAGGCCCTTACACCAACAATCCATCTATTAATCAATTTCATTCTTTCAGTTACTGTATACCAAGAATACTGATTTTTGGGTTTCCAACAAAATCCGTATTCGTTTTACAAGTATCCGGTTTGCAAATCTGTACCTAGGCTCTCCTTAAATCGCCTAATCTCCGCATGGCGCGGTGAGTGTGGATGCACACGTGAACTTCAGATAGCCTCGTTTACGGTTGACGAAGTTGTCAACCTTGGGCCGGCAGCCACTTCGATTTCGTATGGCTCGCGAGGGCGACGCTACGGAAGTCATGGACCTAAAAGCACAGGTCGTTGCTTTGCGGGAGCGCCACAGCGGTGGCGAAATCAGCACCTATCGGTGGCAGCCTAGCGGTGGCAGCACAGTAACGCGGCGGGTGTCAAGTCTCGTCCGTAACATTGGGCAACAAGCCATGTGGCCAACTAGCCAGGTGGACCACTGGCCAGGTGGGGGAATTTGTCGGTTCTAGACGAGAACAAAACTCGATGTCTGCAGTCTCAGGCGAACAGTATAAGGATATCTGAGCAATCAAATGAATAGAAAAAGCTTCTCTTAAAAATCAGACCAAATTAAACATCATGTTTACGACATCAAATGAACCAGTAAAAATGTGTTCAGAATCCAGAAATTTAGACAAACAATTTCTGATAACGTAGGCCCTGCCTACAAGGCAACGGGTGACCTTTACATCGGCCAGCTAGAGCAACGGGTCACAAATCTGGAGATGGGAGAGCACGAAAGCGCAACTTGTTGGTGTAAGGGCCTAATAAACTCAAGCTATTAAGACTTTATCACACTTAAAACCTCTCCTCGGGGTCACCTCCAAGGGTCCTTGGGTGCCTGGTACAAGACCAGCCCCTATCCTCGGGTCCGAGTTTGTAGAGAGAGGGATCAAGAGGGACTTAGTCAAAACAGCAAGAGTACCTTGAACGTCGCGCAGCGTATCGTGCAGACCGTCGATCGGATTAAGCTGAGAATTTCCTATATCGAAGCTCACTCTAAGAGCTTTAAAATAAGCCAAGTTGCCTCGCGAAAAGT